TTTCCCCAGAGGATTCAATAATAGATGGTAATTTTGATTCTCTCTTGACACAATTTTCTTTGTTTCTCAAGTATATACTCATTTGTGCGGAAACTTTCGCATGCGGATTAGTAGAAGAGACCGGAGCGTGAAAATAGAGAGAGAGGAGATAGATCCGTAGAATTTAATTTCCACATTAAAAGGCTACAATCAAGAATATTCATTTAAAACTTATTTGTGTATAAGTGGTAAATTGTATATTAAATTTTAATAAATTAAAATCTAAATAGTTGTTGTGTTTTGTTATTATTTATTAATAACAAAAGAGGTGTGAATGGAAAATGGTGGAAAAAGAAATGGAGAGAAGTGAAATTTTAAATGAGTTCATTTTACTAATGCACTTTGTCCCTCATTGGTAGAAGGAAAGAAAATCTTTGTGTATATATAGATGAGCTCATCTTTTAGCTCTTAAAGAGTTAAGAAGAAGGCAAGTCTCGCGCCGTCGTCGTCGCTCGGCTCTGGCTCCGGCTCCGGCTCCGGATTTGGTCAAAGATTGATTGATTAATCTTTCTGGACAAAATTCTTTTCAAATATTTAATTAACTAATTAAATTAATTAACGAAAATTCAATCTGGAATAACCCATGACCGATCCGGTTCGTTTTCTTTCCCGGATTATTCTAAATCTGTTTTACATTTCCCGCATTATTTCCAGCAGCTATGGCTGTTCTGAAACAATGTCAAACCTGTTCCAATAGCTATGGTTGTTCTAAAAGGTTGCAAACCTTTTCAGAAACAATACCAAATTGGCTATAAATATTCCTTCAAATACTAGAATATTTTCTTACGAAATTTTCTGATAATCTTCTTCTTCTGCACAAAAAATCCACTATATTTTATAGCCTTCGAGTGGTTCGCTGTTCATTGGCATTTTTGGCACCAATACTCCGGTGAGTTAAATCGTTCTATCCTAGAAGGATATATTCCAAAACCTCGGGTACATAAGGGGAATAATTTCCTTAAGGACATACTGTGTATTCAGTGGGCTCGATTTGTTCCTATACCATTTTTAAAATTTATTTTGAAGTTCAAATACTGTTTTCAGAATTTATTTCTACTAACTTTCTATTTCTGTTTTCGGAAAATTTATTGTTTTATTTATTTTACAACAATACAGTTTGATAACAATCTTAAGGAAATTATTTTTATTTTATTTTGTATTCTGTTTGTGGAGATTAAAACCTGTGTGGTTTTCTACTCCATCTGAAATTTACTATTCTGATTTGAATATAAAACTTCATTAGAGTATTGAAATTCACAAAATGATTTGAAGAACAAAAAAACTTCATCGTTTTTCTGTAAAACAGTATATAAAAACTTCGGTTGTTTTTTATTACGTACTGTTTATTAATTACAGTATTATTTACTATTCTAGTTTTGCCATTAATTGAACTCTTCTGTTGTTGACAGTGAGAAATGGCAATTGATAACGGAAATTCTAACGACCCGGCCGGTTGTCTTAAGAATTTACGCCCCGATCCCCTGTTATCTGCTTTCCCCATATTTAATTCTGCTATTTTAAATTGCCGGGATGTTCGGTTTTGTGTTTCGGAGAGTTTTGGGACACTTAGTCCTTAAATTAGAGCTTAAGTGTTGTAAATTTGACCGCAATCGGAACAATGTGAAGACAGCCTCAGAATGGAAATCCAGTTGTTCCGTTAGCTCCGTTGGGTGACTTCGGGCTTAGAGGCGTGAATGGATTGTGTTTTGGAGGTCGGTAGCTAATTTAGGCTTGAAATGCCGAAAGTCAAAATTTTGAAGTTTCTGGTTCGACAGTGAGATTTTGATCCGAGGGTCGGAATGGAATTCCGGAAGTTGGAGTAGCTCTGCAGTGTTAAATTTGACGTGTGAGCACAATTTCAGGTCATTCAGATGAGGTTTGATAGACTTTATAATCGAAAGCATATTTTTAAAATTTTGGAGTTCTTAGGCTTGAATCGGTGGTTGATTCGTTGTGTCGATATTTTTTAGGTGTTTTAAGGATTGGTATAAGTTTGGGCAGTGGTATTAGACTTGTTTGTGCTTTTGTTTGAGGTCCCGGGGGCCTCGGGATGATTTCAGATGGTTGACGTAAGGATTTGGAAGTGGTTGAAGCAGCTGAAGCTGCTGGTATCTTTCATAACAGCACATGCGGTTGGATTCCGCAGGTGCGGAGCCGCAAAAGCAGCATTTGACATCATAGAAGCGGAAATGGGGAGGTTCAACAGGAGCCGCAAAAGCGGTAGAATTTCCACATGAGCGGTACCGCATCTTCGGATGGGGAGTCGCAGGTGCGGAATTAGGCTGAGTTAGTGATTATCGCAGATGCGACCATTGGTCCGCAACAGGAGGACCGCAGATGCGGTCCTAGGGCGTAGAAACGGATTAACTGGGCAGAAACATATACACACTTGCCTTCGCTAAACTTAGCTATTTTTCACATCTTTTCAAACGGGAAGAAGCTTGGGAGAACTCATCAAGAGGGATTTTCAGAGGAGTTAATTGGGGTAGGGTCTTTGGTCCCTAAACTCGTTATTGGAATGATTTTTATCAATTTAAGCATGAAAAATTAGTGGTAATTTGTGGGTTAGGGCTTGACTAATTAGAGGCCTTTGAGTGATGATTTTAGGGACAATTGAGGTCCAATTTTGGTACTTTTGGTATGACTAAACTCGTGAGAGTGTGAGGATTCTGGAAATGTAAATTTTACCCAATTCCGAGACGTGGGCCCGAGGTGCATTTTGGTCATTTTACCTAATTTTGTGTATTAGCTTAGAATTTCTTTGTAGAATCAGTTACTTGAAATGTTATTTACATTATGAAATTGAATTGAATAGATTCGGGTCATTTGGAGTCGAGTACTCATGGCAATAGCGTGAGTTCAGATTGATTTGAGCTAGTTCGAGGTAAGTGGCTTGCCTAACCTTGTGCGAGGGACCTTCCCCTTAGGATTTGGTATATTTGATAATTGAAATTCCCTGTACGTAAGGTGACAAGTGCGTACTTGAACTAATTATTGAAAATCCGATTTTCTTTAAGTAATTTCAATTGTGTTTATTTTTCCTGTTTCATTTTACTTGCAATTTATTCGTGTTGTTAGCGTAGAAAAAACATGTCTAATTGACTTAACTGTTTATTTGCTTAAACTGCCTTAATTGAATTATGTGAAGCATGTTAAATTAGAATTACCTGTTTTACCTGGTACGAAATTAAGCTTAATTGAGTATTCTTGTGTTGCTGCTGTGTGTTTTACTTTGGGACGACATCCTAGGAGATCCCCTGTACGTAGTTGTGATTTGAACTAAGGTGCGGGATTGTAACGACCCGACTGGTCGTTTTGAGCTTTTGCACTTTGTTCATCAGTTTTCGGGCATGACTTGCCCCGTGTTGCTAGGTATTGGCCATAAAAAGCCTTGCATGATCGTATCTTAACTATTATCCCATTCCTGACTACCCCCAATAGCTCGAGTTTGATCCAGATATCGATCTCGAGGTCCTTCATCGACCAGTCCGAGGCTCGGGCTGCAAGTTTCTCGGTTTGACTACTACCTCGCTTTAGTTCGTATTTCTTCGTTAAATCTCATACTTTTAGCATCTACTACTCTAACAACTAACATAAAAATATATCACATATTTTTAGAGTTCCATTTATAAATTAATTGTTGCTACCATTTTCACGGTAAACAGTAACACAACCCATTCACGTGATGAAGACGATGTTCAAAAAACGAGGTAAAGCATTAAGGCTTTTTGATGAGTCAATAAAACTTAAAGCTTTTTAATGATTTGTTAAGTCTGGCGGGATATGGCCAGATAGTGTGTCTTTAGGATTATACTTTTAGGAATCACCTATGTGAGTGTAAAGTGTAAGCCGCTTCAAGGAGAATGAAAGTAAAGGCTCATCCTCTAAGCAATCATGAAACAAGGCGGTGTTCATGGCTGAAACGAACACAACCGTGAGAACCATAGATGGTTAATGATTGATTGTGTGACTTATGTTGTCTAGGTATATAACAAAGCTCGGCGGTTCAAAGATATCAAATCTACCGATTGACCGAGTATATCCGATATAAGTTCACTATGAAAAGTTCAAAGGGAAACCTACTTATCCAGATGCAATTAATTCTTGCATGTAAAACACACACACGTCCGCGCATTCCTTTAAGTTTATAGTCATTCCCCATTCATGTGGGGGATTGTTGGGTTTTGTTATTATTTATTAATAACAAAAGAGGTGTGAATGAAAAATGGTGGGAAAAAAAATATAGGGAAGTGAAATTTTGAATGAATTCATTTTACTAATGCACTTTGTCCCTCGTTGGTATAAGAAAAGAAAATCTTTGTGTATAGCAATACAAGTTTGATAACAATAGCTAGGGTAAATAAATACAAATATAGTACATATATGTACAAATCCCAAAAAGAAGTAATTCAAAAGCAAAAAATGTACTGACCAAAAACTGATTTAAACTATTCAAGGTATACCCTAATAGTATTTCATTCTACTAAACCAACCAATAAGAACGAAAGTCAGGCAGCAGTTACAGTAGCACTATTAATATTAAAGCAATAATTGTTATATACCTAACAATACCACTAGATATTTAATTAAGCGATAATTGTTGTTTACCTACCATTAATAAATATTAATAATGGACTAATTCAAAGCTTATCTACAGCATATTTGTCCCATTAAGTTAAATTATCGAAATTATTGTCTGATCTCCTCCAGCCATCTTTGTACTAGACAGCAAATTGTGGCATATTCCAACATTGATGGTCATTGGGTTGACTTCTGACGTAACAACTACACATTTAGGGAGAATATAACTAAATAATTCTACGGAAAAGGGCTAAATTACCCTTATTTAGGGAGAAGTATTGAATTTGGTACCATAAAAGTCTCCTTCCAATTTTTTGAATAAAAAAGCACTTACCGTTTGTGTTCTGCATTAGCTATACCCTTATTTTTAACACCCTTCTATTAAAAAAATACTTTTTAATCCACTTGTTATATTTTCATTGGCCCAATTTAAAATCAAGTCCTAAACTATCCACTCGTAACCCGTCCCATTACCGACCCTCCCGTGATACTAACCCTTCGTTTTAACCTAAACACATCCGACCACATTCACTTTATCAAAACATTTCTAACCCTACTAGCTAAGAGCGAAAATGGTTGCCGATTAAAGAGGGTGATAATCGGATTCAAGTTTTGGAATTTTTGCTTCGTTATGCCTCTTTCAAGTAAGTATAAACTATTATTTTGGTGAATAATATAGGGTTTAGAGTTTTTGAAATTTGCATTTTGTGTTGCTTTCCATGTGTTTTCATATGCTTTTTAGATTCTTTGTTTTTTTCAACGCTTCTGATGTCTTTTTTGTAGTCAATTTTTGGTTCCATGCTGTGATGACCTTGTTTAAAAACGAAATTCTGTGTTCTGAGACCTTGAAAACCTCATTTAACGTCTGTGCGCAGTTCGGGCACGTAGCCGGAAAGCGTAAATGTGAAAGTCTGTGAAAAATGATAAGTTTTGACTGTAAAATGAATAAATTTAACTTCGGTCAACGTTTTGGGTAAACGGATCCGGACCTGTGATTTGACGGTCCTAGAGGGTCCGTAAGAAAATATGGGATTTGGGCGTATGCCCGAAATCGAATTCCGAGGTCCCAAGCCCGATAAATGAATTTTCAAAGAAAATTGTTTTCTGAAATTGTTTAAAGGATTTTGAAATGAAATTTGCTTAGAACATAATGGTATCGGGTCCGTATTTTGGTTTCGGTGCCCGGTACCGATCTTATATATGATTTAAGACATTTCTGTAAAATTTGGTGAAAACAGATGTCATTTGACGTGATTCGGACTTAAATTGCAAAAGTTGATGTTTTACGAAGTTTGAGAAAAATTCTTGGATTTTGAGGTTTAATTCGTTGTTATTGAGGTTATTTTGGCGACTTGATCGTATGGATAAATTCGTATGATGTTAGTGAGTTAGTACGTATGTTGGGTTAGGAGCCCCGAGGGATCGGGTGAGTTTCGAGTAGGTTCCGGGATGCCTTAGGTCTAAAAACACACTTGTTGCAGGTTCAGAGAAATTTGCGGGTCTCTGAACCTGCTAGTGCGGTCCACGAGAAATTGTGTGCGACCACGGAAGGGGCCAGCGCAGTCCATGTGAGGTTCGTGTGGTGCGCGGTGGAGACTGTGCGGTCGCAGTCAGTTTTGTGCGGTCCGCACAGTTTTTCACTGGGTTGTGCGGCTATGGTCGGTTTTGTGCGGTCCGCACAGGGCGCTGATCTGCAGCATCCCAGGAAGGACTGTGCGGCCGCAGTCCATTTTGTGCGGTCCGCACAGGGCACTTGAGAATAGTATAAATAGACGGGATTTTCAGTTATTTTTCATTTTTCAAAACCCCAAAAACATAAGACGCGATTTTTCAAACAACCTTTCTTCTCCAAATCAATTATAAGTCATTCTTAACTAGTTTTCTTCAATCATAAACATCTTTTAAGATGATTTCAACTTCAAATCAATGATTTTCATGGGGGAAATTGGGTGTTTTGGGTAGAACCTAGATTTTTTAAAAATTGGTCCGAACCTCGGGTTTTGACCACGTGGGCCCGGGGACGATTTTGACTTTTAGGGTAAAACTTTGAAAAAACTCATTTTCATACATTCAATTGATTCATTTAGCGTTTATTTATGTAATTATGTAACTTGTAGCTAGATACGAGCGAGTTGGTGGTGGAATCAACAGGTAAAGCTATAATTAAAACTTGAGTTGTGTCTGAGACATTGAGGTAAGTGTTTGGTCTAACTTTAACTTGAGGGATTAGGTGTTGTGTCCTATTTGCTATTTTCTTCTTATTGAGTATGACGTATAGGCATGGTGCCGAGTATCTATACGTTAGTGTCAAGCATGACCGTGACTCTTATATTGTAATTTTCATGACTTCGTTGTATTATTCATGCCTTGGTGAAGATTTCTATTTGTTGTGTAAAGTTGTGGAAAGATTGTGACCTTTGAACATTGAGGAGCGTTGGTTCCAATTGTATAACGAATTGTGAAAGTATAGTGATAACTGAAACTCTAGAGCATTGGTTCGAGTTGTAAAGTAAAAGTGAGAAAGAGTAGAGATCATTATGTTTCCCCCTTGCCGGGCTATTGTTGAGTTATGGCTCCCTTACATTGTGTTCTTAATTGATATTACGGATGCTTAGGTTGATGATTCTTTGTGATAGGGGTCGGAACAAGTTTGGTTATAGCTAAGGTAGTTAGGTATTGTAACAAGTTTGGTTATAGCTGAGATAGTTAGGTGTTGTAACAAGTTTGGTTATAACTGAGATAGTTAGGTGTTGTAACAAGTTTGGTTGTAGCTGAGATAGTTAGGTGTTGTAACAAGTTTGGTTGTAGCTGAGATAGTTAGGTGTGGTAACGAGTTTGGTTATAGTTGCTTCTCCCTTGCCGGGACGTGATTAGTTATACTGTCGACTCCCTTGTCGGGATAGTGTAGACCTTATTGATCCCTTGTCGGGACTCTTATTATGATTGTTATCAATATTATATATGGATCGGGTTGCACGCCGCAACAATATTATATATGGATCGGGTTGCACGCCGCAACAATATTATATATGGATCGGGTTGCACGCCGCAACAATATTATATATGGATCGGGTTGCACGCCGCAACAATATTATATATGGATCGGGTTGCACGCCGCAACAATATTATATATGGATCGGGTTGCACGCCGCAACAATATTATATATGGATCGGGTTGCACGCCGCAACAATATTATATATGGATCGGGTTGCACGCCGCAACAATATTATATATGAATCGGGTTATACGCCGCAACAATATTATATGTGGATCGGGTTATACGCCACAATGATATTATAAATGGGAGCGGGTGGTACGCCTACCACAAGACGTGAAAAGAAAGTGAAATCTGCCTTTGTTTTCCTTATTCTTGTTAATGGTTGGATTTTGATTCCTTTATAGTTCTTTGATAATCTATTCTTATCTGTTATTCCCCGAAGCATGTTTCTCCCTCCCATCTTTACTTATTTTTTTCTTCTTTACTTTCCGCTGTATATCATTTAACTGCCCAAGGTTATTTGGTAGTCTGGTCCTAGCCTCATACGTCACCGAGGTTAGGCTAGACACTTACCAGCACATGGGTCGGTTGTGGTGATACTACACTCTGCACTCTTTTGTGCAGACCCCAGTGTTGTGGACTTTGGACCGCAGTGAGATTGCTGAATCTCATTCATCAGGCGACCCGAGGTAACCCTACAGGCGTCCGTAGGCCTTGGCGTCTCCTTCTATCTACCTTCCTGTTTCTTACCTGTATTTCCAAAGACAGTGCTGTATTTAATTCTTTCAGACCTCTATTTGTAGTATTCCTAGACCGTCTATGAAACTGTGACACCAGTTCCGGGTAGTCGAGGCTCAAACAGTTGTATTGGATTCATGTTCATATAGCTTATTGCTTTTTCCTCCGCTTATGTTAAATTCCGCTATTTAAATATTATTACTCCGCAATTGTTAATGAATATAAAATGTGTAAAAAGGTAAAGTGTGCAAATAATTGGCTTTCCTAGCTCGTATTAGTACGCCATCACGACACCCGAGGGTGGGAAATCCGGGTCGTGACACATGCTTTTTTTCGTGTATGAAGTTAGAGATTTAATTGTGGTTGTGGTTGGTTAAATTATTGGTACGAGGTCCTACTTTTTTTCAGTTCCAGTTATTTAATTATAGTTTGCTGCCGATTTCAGTCTATACAATATATCGTATGAGTTTTGATATCCCTCCCACCACAATTTAGCCAGTTTAAAGTGAGCTATAATTGTCAGAAAGAGACATGCTCTCCAAATGATCTAATCTCTCACTGTGTATAGACTGAACTAGGAAAAGATAGAAAATGTTCACTTAGCCATTGTGCCTAAGGAAAAAAAAGAAAGAATAAGGAAGTTGTGGATACAACAGCACAAAAGATACAATATCAGGAACCAACTATAGATGATTTTTTCTTTTGTAAAGTTGCAGGTCATAATAGGAAGGATTGTTCCAACTATCACACATGGCGTGCAAAGAAAGGTACACCTCTTAATTTTATTTGTTCGAAGGTTAATTTGACTTCGGTACCAAGACACAAATGATGGAGAGATTTCAGTAAAATAACTCAGATCACTGTGTCTATGCAGGGTTGCCTGAACTATCGAAAGCGTAATAATGGTGAAAGATACATATACAATGGTGATAGCAAGTTGGTGGAAGTCGAAGCAATTGGAAATTTTAGAAATTGTTAAGAGCCGACTTTATTTGAATTTGAACAAGACTTATGTTGCGTCATTTTTTGATGGGATTTGATTTCTGTTTCTGTATTAGATAAGTTTGGTTATTTATATTTATTTGAAAATAAAAAAATAGTCTCTTTCATAATTCAAAATTGGTTGGTCCCGGTTCTTTATCAAGTTACAATAATCAATACTTACTTGATATGATTATTTCGTTCAATGAACCTTGCATGTTCACATAACTGGTAATAAGGGTAATTTAACCATCCCGTAGTCAGCTTATTTATTGCACCGGAGATTAGGTCGTATCTCTAAAGAAGAATTAAGAAACTTCTGTCCAATAATATTTTTATCTCCTTAATTTTTCAGAACTTTTATCCCACTACTAAGACTACTTTTTTTAATAAGGTGAGGTTCTTTGAGGATCTTGAGTTTGTGGGGGAAGAGAGAGTTAAGGATTTTGCCTTTGAAGAGGAACATTTTAATATTCCTGTAATTGTTATTGTCAGTACTGGGGAACAACTTTTATACCTGACATTGTTCAAGAAGAAAATTTGGATCAAAGACTATATCATTAACCCATCATACAAGAAGTAGTTCCCAAAGAACTATAATGACTCGACCGGTTATTTTTAGTTTTGTAGCCCCGTTCCCCCATTTATTGCTTATTTTGTGTTTGTTTGTTGTTATGTAACTTGGTGGGGTGGTTGATTTGGTTCCGAGGATGTTTCGGAATGAATTGGGACACTTAGTCCTAAGGTTCGAAGCCTAAGTTAAAAAAGTTGACCGGATATTGACTTATACATAAATAACTCCATAATGGATTTTTGACGAGTCTGGTAGTTCCGTATGGTGATCTTGGACTTAAGAGTGTGTCCGAATATTAATTGGAGGGCTGTAGATGTTTTTTGGCTTGAGTTGTTGAATGTTGGAAAAATGGAAGTTCCGAGAGTTGAGAAGTTTGACCGAGAGTTGACTTTGTAGTTATTGGGCTCAAATTTTGGTTTCAGAAGTTGGAATAGGCCCGTAGTGTCATTCATGAATTGTGTGTATAATTTGAGGTTCATCGGAGAAGGTTTGGTATGTTTCGACATTAGTTTTGGAAGTTAGAAGTTCATAAGTTTATTAAGCTTGAATCGATGCGCGATTCGTAGTTTTAATATTGTTTGATATAATTTGACACTTTGAGCGAGTTCATATGATATTTTAGGACTTTTTGATATGTTTGGTAGAAGTCCCAGGGGCCTTGGGTGTGATTTGAATAATGATATCACGATAGGTGCATTTTTAAACTTTGAAGAACTGCTAATTTCTATTGCTGTTTTCTTTATACGCGATCGCGAGTAGGGTATCGCGATCGCGAAGAGTTGTTTGGCACTGGTGGTAGATTTTTCAATGCGATCGCGAGATGAGGCCTCCAATCGCGGAGCTTTGGCATTTAGTGAATCACGAACGCGTATGTTGGGCTGCGTTTGCAAAGAAGTAAGGAGGAGGCTGGGAGTCCACGCGAATTGTTCTTCATGATCACGTGAATAGTTCCGCGATCGCGTAGCTTGAGAAGACTGTGAATCGCGTTCGTACGTGGGATTCCGCGTTCGCGGAGAGTTAATTTTGTAGCCTGTGAGTTTGTGCTTTGCGATCGCGAAACGTTTCCCGTGATCGTGAAGAAGAGCACCTAGGCAGACTTTTAAATATAAAAAACGAAGGTTAGAGTTATATTTCATAATTAGACTTTGGGACCTCAAATTGAGGCAATTCTTAGTGGGAGTTTCAAGGAATTGATTGGGGTAAATGATTCTAACTCGGATTGGTTAATATACATAAATATATTATTATTTTAATCATTTAATTAGTGTTTGGGTTGAAAATTGAGAAAGAATTGTAAAAACTTCATTGGCTTAAATTTGAGGATTTGAAGGTCGAGTTGTGATCAGAATTCAGTAATTTTTGTAAGGTTAGACTCGTGGTTGAATGGGTGTTTAGATTTTCTTAATTTTGTTGGATTCAGAGATGTGGACTTGGGGTTGACCTTTTGATTTGAATTTTTGACTTTTGTTAAAGAGCTTATCATTTTCATATGGAATTGATTTCGATAGCTTGTGTTGATTTTATAGAGTTATTTGTGGCTAGATATGAGCCACACCCAACCTATACAAGTTCACAAGTTCATGATCATGATCCACTTACATCATCACATATAAATGAGCCACACCCAACCTAAAGTGTTGAACTGTCCTCAATGCAACTAAACAAAGAAAGATAAAATGAAAGAGGTGTTCCCTGAAACTGCATCATTCCGAGCTGGAGGTATTGGGAAATGCGAGCTCCAAGTCATCCTTGTCACCGCCATCTGATCCACAAAATTTCCTCAGTGTGCTCATCATCTTTGTCAAGAACTTTTTTTTCTTATTTTAATGTTCTCTCTGCTTCAACTACCTCTGATCAATCATACCTAATTTGGCTTTAATGGCTTGCTGCTCCTTAGCAATATTTGTCAAAGATGGAACCTTTGCTTTGCCAGGTAGACCTGTAGAGTGCTTTCTCCAGATGGTCCAGAAGGGAGATCAGCTACAAGATGGCGGACCTGTGTCTCCATGACATAGATTGTACGAGAGATATACTTTAGTGTAAGAGGTCCCTGCTCAAGTAGTACAATAGTTGTACAAGTCCCTATGGCATCTGCGAGAGAATCGAGAATCACAATAATCGTGTCAGGAAACTGACCAAATGAGGGAGATGCGACATCAATCTTTCTTTTTCTTTGTACATTCCCAGCTCCCTTTCTCACCATTAGATGAATAAGCTTCTTGGGGTTCTTTTCCTTCTCTGTAGGCCTCTTCTCCACCCCGTCCTCATAGCATAAATGAGTGATCAAGGAGGAAAGTGTAATGACCCGGCCGGTTGTTTTGAGCTCTAGTTCATCATTTGGAAGTTTGAGGCTATGAGTAGCTTCACTTCAGGCATTATTACTTGCACGCATGGTTGAAATTGAATTTTGGGAAGTTCGAAGTTTATTTGGAGAGAAAATTCTCATTCGGAAGCTTTAAACTGAGTGTTTTGACAAAGGTTTGATTTTTGAGTAAATGACCTCGAAGTCAGGATTTGAAGGTTCCAATAGGTTCGTATGATGATTTTGGACTTGGGCGTATATCTGGATTGGTTTTTGGATGACCCATGAGCATTTCGGCCCTATTATGGAAGTTAGCATTTTGGAAGAATTTCATAAATTTGGGCTGTAGTACATTTCAATGTTATTGATGTCTGTTTGGGATTTCGAGTCCGGGAATAGCTTCGTATGGTGATTCTGGTATTTAGAGCATGTCCGGAAGTGGATTCGAAGGTTCGTAGGTCATTTTGGGTTCATTGGCAAAACTTAGAAATTTGAAGGTTTTTGAGAAGTTTGACCAGGAGTGAACTTTTTGATATCAGGGTCGTATTTAAAATTTCGAAAGTTGAAGTAAGTCTGTAATGTCGAATGTGACTTGTGTGCAAAATTTGAGGTCAATGGGACGTGATTTGATAGGTTTCGACATCAAATGTAGAAGTTTGAAGTTCTAAAGTTCATTAAGCTTGAATTAGGGTGCGATTCAAGATTTTGATGTTGTCTAATGTGATTTGAGGACTCGAGAAGGTCCGTGTTATGTTATGGGACTGGTTTGTGTGATTGGACGGGGCCCTGGGGAGATCGTGTGTGTTTTGGGGTGGTTTCAGATCATTTGGGGCTGTTTTGCAATAGCTGATGCTGGTGTATGGTGTTATTCTTTACGTTCGCATGGATCCTCTGGTGTTCGCGAAGCATTTGGCTTCAAGAACATTTTCCTTCGCGTTCGCGAAGATGGAATCTCTGTTGCACAGGTCTAAATTTGGAGGTTCATATCTTACAATCTGTAAGAAATTCGGAGATGAGCAAAAACTGAACATTGTAGCCCTTTGTGTCTAGTTTTTAGAAAGGTAAATCATTTAGTATTTTGATTTGTGTACAAAATGTTACGGCAGATACACTACAGGCTGTCCGGGAAGATGAAGAAGAAATTTTTGTTGTACGGGGCTTAATTTCGAGGCTTATATCTCGAAATCAGTAAGGAATTGGGAGATTACCAAACCAAGGAAGTTGTAGATCTTGGTGTCTAGTTTTCAAAGAGTTACACCATTTGTCATTTGGAGTTTTGTACGAAAAGTTATGAATATTGTCCTAGGGGCTGTCTTAGAAGAGTTTGGGAATGGCTTTCCAGAATTTTGTTCTTCGCGAACGCGATGGGATGTCCGCGAACGTGAAGAAGGGTTGTCTGGCAGTGTATAAGTATGCAAAAATGGGTTTGGCTCATTTCATCTCATTTCCTCCATGGAGACGACCTAGGAGTGATTTTTGAGCTCTATATTCATCATCTATATCAAGGTAAGTGATTCCCACCTATTGCAAGTTAATTACTTGGATTATATCTTGATATTAACATGGAAATTCATGGGGAATTAGTGGAAATTTGGGGTTTTGAAGATAAACCTTGAAATTTATATTTTTGGATATTAACCACGAAATTGGACATGGAACTTGGAATAAATTATATATTTGAGTTATTAGTGTTATGGGTAAAGTTTATCTTCGGAAATTTTCGAAATTTGGGCACGTGGGCCCGAGGATGATGTTATCGACTTTTCAAGCGGAGTTGGAAATTGTTGTATATAGGATTATAATGGGTGTTTGAGTATATAATAATGTGTTTGCATAATTATTGACTAGTTTTGGAGTGTTGAGCATCGGTTTGAGTCGTCGGAAGGGCTTGGGGGCCGGTTATGAAACTTTAGAATGAGGTAAGTCTCCTTTCTAACCTTGTGAGAGGGAATTATCCCCATAGGTAAAATGATTAAATATGTGCTTTTATTTGTGGGGTCTACGTATGCACGAGGTGACGAGGGTCCGTATGTAGTTATTATTATGCTTATGTCCAGGTAGCCTAGGACCCGAAAACATGCTATACTTGAAGTATTTGTAACCTTATTGACAATTTAAATTGCCTAAATTATATCGAATTGGTAAATGAATTTCTAAAGAAATTAAACATCATTTTCTTGACCGTTAAAGAGAAGTTGCCATTTCTTTG